ACCACCAGCGCCCACCTTCCATACGATTGCCATTAACCATGTGCAAGAAACGCCCATGTAATAGCCCCATGATCTTTTGTAACCATGCACAGACCATAAAGGCCTATCCAATAGCCCTGGCGATAAAAGGCCTATCCAATAGCCCTAATGTTACGATCCTGGCCAATTTTGAAGCGAAAATCACGAGAAAGTACAATGACATCCGATTGCAAAAAGAAATGAATGAACTTGAGTGCAATCAGACTTGACTTCGACTTCACTCCGCATGCATGAAGACAGATGATGATCACACCCGGCGCATAGCGCCCACACAAAGCTCAGAGTTAACATGGTCAGGAACACAGCTCAGATTCAAACTTGTCCTGAATAGCTATGGCGCTAGGCGCCATACAAAGATTCCCACCCAATCAACTGTATCCACCGACAATTTATTCACACACATGCACTCACTCTTGGATCACCCTGGATGTCCTACACACACACACACACAACACACTTACACACTCTCTACCTCTAACCTACGGCAGCTATCGCTACCTTCCTCTTCCTCCTACTTACTACCTCCTGGCTATGGCTGCGTCTTCTTTCTCTCCGTAGCACAAGACACTCCGACAGCGCTTCCGCATGGCTCACAGGCAGAATGAATGAATGACTTGACGCTGCCTCTTTATTTATACTTCGGACCGTCGTTGGTCTGCCCTCGGACCCTGGGCCCGGGGTATGCACAGTCCTACATGGTACTTGCTCACTTGACGAAGTGCGACCTTGGGCTCAGTACCGCTGACTAGGATAGGTAGCACTGGGACTGCCCTTCGTTGACTGTGCTAGCACTGCCTTCTGCTGACTCAGTCGCTGACGGACCCCTACAACCTATGAAGAGTCGGTCCTATTGTTTCTAGAAGGTCCTAGTGTTGACCTTTCGGCACTGTAGCAGCTACAACCTATACTAACCCACTGACTGCTAATCCTAAGGTCTAAGGGTCAAACTCCCATGACCACACTATGTACAACAGCCAAACATACGTCTTTCAAAAAACAGGTCGCGGGTTCAAACAGACGGGTCATCGGGGTTTGTACACGGGTTAGGGGTAAGGTCTAGGGATCGAGCCCTGGGTATTGCATCTGTCACCGTAATAGGTGACAACCGTTTCATTCCCGCTGGCCTCAATTTGAGGTCCTCCGAGAATACTTTAGTGCAAGATAGGACCTTTACCTTTCCTTTCTTTGTCATAGGCGGTCTCTTAAAGCCCAGTTCTTGTGAACCATCGGTCGTCCTCCGGTTCCTGATAAGCGAACCTAACTTTGTACTGTATCTGTGGACGACCTCTACCTCCGGTACGAAACACATCTTCCACAATGCAATCTTATATCGTAGGTGCCATACATACCCGACGGAATCATCGATCGTCGCGACGGAAATTGTTGACTGGTGACACAAGGTAATAATTTGGATGCATGGAAGACTCGGTATGAGTGGAGGTGTGGCGGAATTTCTACTCTGTAGGAAGGTCCGTCCTCTCCGCCTTTGACTTCTAGAACAGGCCACGGTCCCCTATATGCGGGCAACAACTTTCGTGAGAAGTTCTCTTCTGGGGCGAACTCCTTGGACTTAACCCACACTAAGTCACCTACCTGGAACTGTGACGGTTGACGATGCTTGTTAGCTTGCTCAATCATTTTGTGTTGAGCCTTTCTCAGATTGTCGGTCACTCTTGCAATTTCCCTTTCATGCTATAAGGCAAACTCTCGAGTTCCAAGTGGTAGTCTTTGTATTTGGTCATGGTTCAGTCCTTCAACGGCGTGTGTGGTCTATGTGCAAGTCATTAGGGGTCCAACAGGTAGCTAGATGGACACTATTGTTGTAACCGCTAGCGACCTTAGGGAGCATCTCATCCCAGTTAATTTGATCTGGTCTAATATACATCCTGAGTATCTGCTGCAGGATCTTATTCATCTGTTCAATCTGGCTGTTAATCTCTGGATGACGACCAAATGACATCAATAACTTTGAGCCATAGACTCGCATAAGCTCCTGCCAATGCTGGCTAGTAAACCGTGTATCCCCGTCACTAACTATAGATAGCGGAATACCATGCTCACTTACCCAGGAATTGAAAAACTTCTCTATGAAGGCAAAGGAACAAAAACCGGATACTTGCTAAAACGGTCTACTACAACCATGACTTGGCTCTTGCCATGCCTAATCCTGACCCCAGCGTCCATAAAATCAATGGACACAGACTCTCAGGGTCCTGTAGGGATAGGCAAAGGTATGAGAAGACCCAACGGGGCGCGCATCGTAGTTTTATTGCGCTGGCATACCTTGCAACTGCGTACATACTCTATGCAGTCGGCTTTCATGCCAGGCCATGTGTAAGCAAGCGTCAGGTTGGCTAAGGTCTTTTGCCAATCGAAGTGTCCTTTAGTATCGTGACATTCCCCGAGGATTAGACTTCGAATCTCTTCACTATTGGGAATGCATAACCGATCTATGACGTCTGTCTTCTCAAACAGTAACCCGTTTGCGATGCAATAGTCGGGTTCACTTGCTGGGACCTCTCACTCTCTTCAGGAGGTCACTATAAATAGGGTCATGTGCATACCCATCTCTAACCTTTTGCTGTAAGTCAGTCCCTATGTCCAGATAGTGAACTATAGCTCCAAAGTAGTCGACTCTTCTACTTAGAGCATCTGGAACTATATTGTACTTCCCTTTAACGAGTTTCCGCTCAAAGTCGAATTGGTCTATCTCTGCGGCCCACCTAGTAAGCTTAGGGGTCATCTTGGACTGTGTCTTCAACCACCTGAGTGTCTCGTGGTCTGAATAGACTTTAAACTGCCTCCCAAGCAAGTAGTGTCTCTAGTGATCTAGTGCTTGCCAGAGGGCATAGAGTTCTTGAAATTTGCCTTTCGCAACTTTTCCAAGATCTGCCTGAAATAAGCCTCATGCTCCTAGAGGGTCTTACAAAATATCGTCTAAATAAATGACTACGAATTTGTCTAACCACGGCCTTAACAAATCATTCATACAATGCTGGAAAGTGGCCGGTGCGTTGGTGAGTCCAAATGGCATAACTATGAACTCGTAGTGCACATATCTAGTCATGAACGCCGTTTTATATTGATCATCAAGGTGGACCTCAATCTGATGGTACCCTGACTTCAAATCTATCTTTGTGAAGTATTTACAACCCTGCACCTGATCTAACAAATCATCTATTCGGGGCAGTGGTTCTGCATTCTTGCTTGTAATGACGTTGAGACACCTGTAGTCAATGCACATCCTCAACTCTCCCTCTTTCTTGGGGACAAAGAGAAGAGGTGCTAGAAATGGAGACGAACAGGGCCTAATCCAACCCTTCTCGAGGAGCTCGTCTAACTGCTTGCGCAACTCCTCTAACTCTTTAGGAGTCATCCTATAAACTACTACTTTGGGAGTTTTACTGCCAGGCTCTATCTCAATGAGATGCTAGATAGGACGCGAAACTACTCAAGGAGCTTCTGACAGATCTGCGTACTCTTCCAGCAACTTGGCAATAATGGGGTTGGTTGGTTCCTCTTTCCTGGGCTCAGTGACTGGCCTAACATAGTCTACAAATACCTGCTCCTTAACTAATCGCGCAAATGCGGTAGCACTAAAACAGCAATGTGCCAGAGAGTTATCTACCCCTGACACATGGAACAAGCGAGCTTTCTTGACGCCACAGGATGGACTAGGAAGCCTACACTCTTGCTCACGTAAATCCAGTGTGGCTCCTGCTGCCTCTCCCCAATCCATTCCTAGAACCATATCGAAAGGGAGATCATCTTCAACGAGGAGAGTCACGGAATGGAGAACTCTCCCTACCTTCCCATCTGCCTCTAGGCGAAAATATGATTGGACTCCCTCGACATAATCCTCGATTCGCATCGTGCAGTTGTCAGCGAGGATACAGGCTCGTCTAGCTTTTGGACTTTTAAACTAAGCTTTAACTTCTTCACCGATTTGCGGCTAACGTAGCTACAGGTAGCCCCACTGTCTATAAGGGCCCCTACTCTGCTTCTAAAAATCTCTACATCTGCTATCAACAATTGTCCTTTACCTTCCTTCTTCATCTTGGCCCAAGCCGGCATCCTCTCCTTCAGTTCTTCTGTCAGGCATGTGCAGGAAGCGCCTAGAGAGACTCTAACACAAGCAATCTCTGGACAACTAACTAGACGCTAGCCAGCAACCTCTGTCGTCACGTACGTGGAGTGGGAGTTTTTATCTGGCGCTCGCAATCATCCCCACACAATCTAGAGGTAAGGGCACTTGTGACCCCTACTGACGGTTGCCTTTTGCTGCCTCAGCAGCAGCTCGCTGAGCACCCCTATACTTTGGGCAAAATTTGATTATATGCCCAGGGTCACCGCAGAAGACACATTGACCTCCATCTATCCTTTCTTCCAGTCTGTCTGCTTAATCCCCAATGTTTCCCAGGGTCGGCCCTCAAGCCGACCAGGGTGCCATCCACCCCCTCTGGGAGGTGACCGATTCGAACAATGACGGTTAGACGGGGGACCTTGACCCCTGCCTCCCACTTGGCGGTTTCCTCTGCCGCCAACCCCCTGGCCACCCTGCCCTCGACCACCAAAGGCCTGGCCTCCTTGGCCTTGACCTCTTCCTCTTCCTTGCAACCTCCCTCCGGCCGTGACAGCAGCGTATGTACTCCCCTGACCTTCACCACTGTCTACATCATCCAAGCCCCACTCTATCTCGCTGCAGGGGACCTCTTCCAGACCACCCTCTTCTAAAGTAAGGATAAGACTATCCTTGGCCTTGACTTGGCTCGTGATGGTATGACCTTTCACTTTTTGGCCTTAGCAAGGTCCTTGTGCCAGAAAGTGGTAACTGGCGCAAACTGGGCCTCGAAAACAACCACCTCTCGATTGAGCGTATGATACGTTATGTCAGGTTGTTGTTTCCTAGTGAAGAAGTGCCCGTGCAAATTCTCGGGCATGGCGCGGTAGAACAATTGGACAAGTCGGGTCTCAATGACCCCATGTCCAGGGATAGCGACAAGATCATCCATGGCGGCTTTGAGTGCTCTTGCACTCCTCCACTGTTGCGCGTGAATTGTCTGCAGCTTATCAGATGCCCCAAGGCGCCTAGTGACATCTGCAAAACGTTTGCGGAGGGCCTCCAGAAACTCACGCAGAGTAGTGATGGAGGAGTATGTGACCATGTCATTGTCACATTTGGCAGCGTGGGCAAGCGACCTAGCGAGACTAGACGCTTCTTCCTTTAGTGCCTGAAAGGCCACAAGAACATGGTTCTCTGGCGCAATGTCCTGTAAGTGCAAGCAGGACTTAATATTGGCTTCCCAATTATCAAAGTCCTCTCCCTTCTTCCCACCATTGGGTTTAGGGAATCTGGCCTTAACGCGCTCACGATGTGGTCGTGCCTCCTCTTCTTTGGGGGCCGCTATCTTGGCGCGTTCTATGGCACCCGTGCAGAATTTTTTTATGCCTTCCACTGCAATACGCATTTTGCTTGCAACACTCATCATCATGTCACGTGCAAAATCCTTCAAGCCTATGTGCATAGACTGTAAGGCAATATCATGGCCCCTAAGATAGTGCAATTGTTCTTGCTGAGCTCTCAGCATGACATCCGCGTTCTGGGATAAGAGTTCTACTTTTCTGTTGAGATCGACTTGTGCTCCCAGTTGCCCCTGCTGCTCTTCAGCTGCTCTCAACTCTCCTTCTATCTTCTTCGCCGCCTCCAATTGCCTCGTTCTCTCCCTTGCAAGGCGCAACTTCCACTCCAACATCTTCTCATCCACCTTGGTCTGTCGACGCAAGGGATCCGCCTCGCTTCGCAATTCCTGTTCCACCGCTTCCCTTTCTGCCTGAGGGACAAGCAACAAAGTTTCTTCCTCTTCCCCTCGGGCCGGATTTGCCACCCATTCAGTCACCATCTTCTCCATATTCGCCTCTCTCTCACGGGCACCACTAGATTCCCCTCTCTCTTCAGTTCTCACTGGTTTTTGCAGAGGAACCTCCACCTCTTCTTCTTCTTCTTCTACAGCTGTTGCAGCTGCTTCTTTCTCCTTCTGCAACCGTTTTAACTCTTCTTCCAGTTCCTTCTCCTTCTTGGCCTTCTTTGCCAATAAGGCCACCTTCTTGGCCTTCTTCTCCAGCTCTTTGTTCTCCTTCCTCGCTTTCTGCTCCACCAGAATGCTCGCAGCTTCCTCCTCCTGCTGCTTCGTGTAGGGGGAGGTCCCTATACAACCCCTTGTGGTGACTCTACATGGTGCATAACCAAGTGACAGTTCCACTCCTCACCAATTAGACTTATCCCCAACTTACTGACTGAATGACTGACTAACTGACTAACTGACTGACTCTCTAAAGGACCACAAAGTCTTCCCCTTAATTCCAGCCAGGTTACCACAGCCGACTAAAGCTTTTGCGACCACTGTCACCGAAACTTTATAGATCCGAGTGCACCTTGCACCTGCGATCAATCCCACCTAGCTTTCACTCTGGATTAGACCCTGTCAACGATGGTCTCTAGCCTAACCTACTCTAAGGTTGTCACTACAAGACCCTACTGCTGACCATGAGGCATTTAAGGAGATCCCCCATAACTCCTCAGGAATTTTTTAACGTCGCAGTCAGGACCACGTGATCAGCAGAGTCCTCTCAATACTTAAGACAACTGGATGTGCAGCCTACAGCTCGGGGTTCGGGTTCAGGCCTACCATGCCACACTGAGCAGCCCGCCGGTTTGTACCGGTCCTTGGGGGTCTTGTCCGCGGGACGTGTCAGTCGTCAGACATGGCCTTTAGCCCTACTAAGTTCCGTGTAGGTTTGGTCACTACAACTCAGTCGTCAGGCATGGCCGTTAGCCCTACTAAGTCTCGTGCAAGTTTGGTCACCACAGCTCTACGACCTCATAAACAGAACCTATCACCTGGGCCGAAGTGACTGAATGCAAATAGAAGAGATAGACTGACTCGGAAAGTACCAAGGTTATGTGCACATCCACAGGGCGAGGGGGCAAGCTTAAGGCTTGGAGAGATTATACTAGCTCCAGCTTCGTCAAAATCTTGGTCAATGCCTCCGGTCAACGTTTTTGGTCAACGCTCCGATCAACGTCGATCAACCTGGTCTCATCGCCCGATCAACTCTTGCCATCGCCCGATCAACTATTGTCAAAGCCCGGTCAACTCTCGTCAACGCCCGACTTTGGCCGCCGACCCTTCTTCCTCATCAACCTTTCTTCTTCCCCCTTTCGTCTTCTTCTTCGCCCCCCTTGGCTATGGCTTCCTTCTTTCCCCCTCGTCTCTCCTTCCCTCTTCCTCGTCTCTTTCTTCTTCGTCACTTCCGGTCTTCGTCTTCTTCAACCCCGAGCTCGGTGGGTATGGCCGCCTCCTTCTTCTTGCTGATGCAACCAATCTTCTATCGCATTTTCTCTCTCTTTCTTTTTTTCTCTTCGTCGTCATCTTCTTCCTTTCTAGGCGCGACGGCTATGGCCGCAGCGGTCCTCTTCGACGACACAGCGATCCTGACGGTCTTCTTCTCTGACGCGCTGTGGTCTTCCCTCTTGGCCCGACAATCTTCCTTAACGTGACGGTCCACCTCGTCACAAAGTGAGGAACACCGTGAGGGCACACAAGCACAAGGCACGCGCGAAGAACTAAGGCGCGCAGAGCACAATGATCGCACGCAAAGCGATGGTGCATGGTGAGCGTGCGCAAGTAGCGGGGCGCACATGCGAAATGGTGAGCAGCAACGCACAATGATAACAACGGGGGCGCGACGAGCAGCGTGGCGAGCACGATAACGGGCAGTGCGCGGGGCGATAGCGCACAAAGTTCATGCACGCACTCTCGGATCACCCTGGATGTCCTACACACACACACACAACACACTGACACACTCTCTACATCTAACCTATGGCAGCTATGGCTGCCTTCCTCTTCCTCCTACTAACTACCTCGTGGCTATAACCGCGTCTTCCTTCTCTTAGCCCACTTCTCCTTCGGGCACCAGCAGACCTCTGTAACACAAGACGCTCTGACAGTGCTTTCCCAGGGCGCAGACATAATGAATGAATGGCTTGACGCTGCCTCTTTATTTATACTTCGGACCGTCGTTGGTCTGCCCTTGGACCCTGGGTCCAAGGTATGCACAGTCCCACATGGTACTTGCCGACTTGAGAAAGTGCGACCTGGGGCTGGGTACCGCTGACTAGGATAGGTAGGACTGGGACTGCCCTTCGTTGACTGTGCTAGGACTGCCTTCTGCTGACTCAGTCGCTGACAAACCCCTCCGACCCGTGAAAAGTCAGTCCTACTGCTTCTGGAAGGTCCTGTTGTTGACCTTTCAGCATTGTAGCAGCTACAACCTATACTAACCCAGTGACTGCTAATCCTAAGGTCTACAGGTCGAACTCCCACGACCACAATATGTACAGCAACCAAACCTATATCTTTCAAAAACCAAGGTCGCGGGTTGAAACAAACTTGTAAACGGGGTCTGTACACGGGTGAGGGGTGAGGTCTAGGGATCAAGCCTTGGGTACTGCATCTGTCACCGTAATAGGTGAAAACCATTTCATGAGAGGAGAGAGAGGGAAAGAAGAAAAAGAAGAGATGTACACCAGCAAAGGACCAACACTAATTCCTCCTTCTCGCCAGCCAATCTCCTCCTCCTTTTCTTCTCCCCTCTTATTCAAACAATAATTATTAATGATAATGATGAATGGCATAACCAGAATCAATGTCCGAATCCCTCTTCTACTGCCAGCACAATGTGAGGTCCTCCATAGCCATGGCCGCCCTTCTCCTTCCTCCTCATCTAGGCCGAGGCTATGGCGGACTACTAGGGCCTTGCCCTGACGTACAAAAGACAACGCAAAGCAACTATGGCCTCTTCCACTCAGGCCACAATGCCTGACTGTGCCCCGAAGCTCCTTGATGTCGCTCTACCCCAATGAGGCCTTCCAGACTCAACGCCCACCAAGGTGATGACGACGACGTCCAGCATAGCCAAGCAAGTACCCCTGGCGCTCCCCTTTCCTAGTCCCTTCTTCCTCCTCCTCCTGACCGAGCTCCTTCCCCAGCAGCGCTGCTCCATACCAGAGCTGCTCCACCACGCACTCCAGCAGCGTGTAGCCCAAACTTGCACGCAACAAATGAGGAAAAGCTCATCGCTCTTCTCAATGATATAGCAAGGCAGCAGCCTCCTTGGGCAATGACTTCCAGGCTGCACAGCCTCCAAGCAACCGGTACCTCCCCTTTTTCGAAGGGACACATTATTGTAGGCTCTGATATCGTTTGCACAGGCCCTAGACTAAGACTACTTGGACTGGTACCCACCCACACCTAGCCTACCGCTACTAGGTGTCTAAAAATGCCAACTTTTTGTCTTCTTCTGCTGGCCTCCGGTCCCCGAGACATCTACCGTTATTTGAGTTGTACCGGCCTACCTGCTACTTGAGTGTTTTTCCCCGCTGCTCTACGTGTCATGTGCCTACTCCCGTCACAGCTACAGGTAAGTACCGGCCCTGCGTGCCTCCCAAACGAACAAGTGCCCTTGCGGGTCACACACATACTCGAACCGACAAGCACTCAGACAGGTACGCAGACCAGCAAGCACGAACACACACAGCCTTAGAAAACTCAGCAAAAAGCGAAAATCTCCACGCGGCATTCGTCCTAGCGACAAAACTCAGAAATCAGCTATGTTCTGAGTTCGTGTTTGGGCAGATCCTTACACTACCCACATACTCAAGCCGACCATTGATTGCACTTGGGATCATAGGCTCGAGATAGTGGAAGGATTTAGCATCAAGATACGGACATAGTTTAAATGCGTGAAAGATCGGGCGTGTGTGCAGATGGGGAGGCACATCAATCACATACGAAGGGCCGAACTCATCCTCACCAACCACATCCGGGCGTGTGTGCAGATGGGGAGGCACATCAATCACATACGGAGGGCCGAACTCATCCTCACCAACCACATCCAGAACCTCCCATGGACCATAGAAGAGAGGGAGAAGTTTTTGTCACACCCCCTCCGATTTCGAAAATTCAGACATCTTGACCCAGACATAGCTTCCTACTTCAAAAGCCATCGGTCTGCGCTTCTTGTTAGCATGGTGGATCATGGCATGCTGACGCTTGGTCATTGCTGCAACAACAACTTTGAGCAACCGATCATACTTGGCATTGTAGCCAGGCCTGCCAGGAGTCAGACCAGCCGGCTGTTCAGGGAACCAGTAGGAGAGAGTTTGCGGATCTGTCCGAAATGCAGCCTGTTTGGCGTCATACCGGTGGAAGAGTGGATGGAGTTGTTGTACAACCCCTTCGGCGCATACAACTCTTCATCCCACGTTTCCTGATCGGGAATGATCAAAGCACGAAGAAGTTGTATCACAGTCTAGTTGATCTCCTCGGCCAAAAAGTTGGCGTCGAAATGAAGTACTTCCAATCAGCACTTATGAAGCGGGGGTCTCGATCACTCACAAGGGTTTTCGGGGTCCAGTACTGCAAAATGTACTTCTGATGGAATTCACGGATCACAAGGTCAGTTGGGGCATGAGGTGGCAATGAAATCAGACAAAAACATTTGGAGAAACGGTCAAAAATCACCATCACCTACGAATATCCAGTTTTACTTGACTTACCCATATCCGTGAAATCGGCAGAGACGGATTTGGGGGGACCGTCGAGAATGGGAAGAGGTTTCAACAGCCCCAGGAGCTTTTTCCTCGATGGTTTGATTCATTGACACACTTGACACTCAACCGCGAACTTGTGAGCAGATCCTTTCATACCAGGCCAATCAAAATGTTGTAGCAGATTTCCGTACGTCTTCGCAAAACCGAAGTGTCCACTCTAGTCATGAGCCAAGTCCAAGAAGTGAGTGCGGAGAGGCTCATGGTTGGGTACACACAAACGGTCATTCTTCCCGTAGCGTCCGAAATCAAACCCTCACACTTGTGAAAATCAGGCCGACTGCTAGAGTCAACCTTGAGCTGATCAAGGATTGGACTGAGATGCGGATCCTTGACAGTTTGCTGTACTAGTTCGTCCTTCAGTGTCCTTCGGAGGTCGTAGGAGCTCACTAGGCAAGTCATATACTCCGGGTGGTGAGACAATGCATCAACAACTCGATTGTAACAACTCTTTTTGTGTCTCGATTCAAAATAAATAATACCATTCTCATGCAACCAGCGGGTCGATGTAGTGGATAAGGTAGTCTGCTCCTTGATCCACTTCAAAGTCTCATGATCTAAAAAGACTTTGAAGTAGCGCCCCAAAGGATAGTGCTTCCAATGGTCTAGTGCCTCACACAAACCATACAACTCCCGCATATAAGTAGAAGTAGCTACCTTTTCGCTAGGCCTGCGTTTGCCGTAGTATTCGAGCGGACGCAAGCCATCATATTGCAGCATTGCGCCAATCCCATATTCGCTTGCATTCGTAGTAACTGCGAATGTAAGTTTGAGATCTGCAATCCAGAGCACAGGATGACTCACCAAAGCCTCTTTCAAGGCTTGAAAGGCAGTCTCAGATGCCTCATCCCATGCATAAGACAATTTTTTACTTGTTACTCTAGACAATGGGCGGCCAATAATAGAGAATCGGGGCACAAGCTTCCAATAGTATGATGCAAGACCAAGAAAGGAACGCACTACACAGACATTCACCAGTTGATAGTATGATGCAATTGGTTGCCTCAGGGCACAAACTTTTGATAGTATGATGCAAGACCAAAAAAGGAACGCATTTCACAAATATTCACCAGTTGAGGCCAGTTGCGCATGACCTCAACTTTGGTTGCCTCAGGCCCAAGGCTCAAGGCTTGCAGCAGACAACCGATGTCCAAGGTAGATTACATTGTCCCTGCAGTGACCCGCTTCATATGCCTCGTTGAATATCTAAGGGTCTGGCCAGGCCACAACCCGGCCTCAAGCCTAAGGGGCAAAGGACCCCCCCGAAGTGGTGCCAAGGCCTGAGTGCCCGACAATTGACTTCAGTCAACTGCCTGAGGCCCAATAGTCAAAGTCAATATGGACCAAGCCCAAGCCACCGGTCAGACACACACACTTGTTTGTATGCTGGTACCAAGACAACATTCAGACAAAGCGGAAGTACGCAACTGTATGCGATCCAGGCCCTCGGCTGTGAGTCAATCTGAGCCACCGTGGGTGGGAGACCTGAGGCAGGTCAACTCGGTCTATCACTACATAAGACCCTGCCTCCAGGGAGTCAACATTCAGTCTTGCTATGCTGCCTTGACGCTGGCTTGACGCTGGCTAGACGCTGGCTAGACGGTGGCTTGACGCTGGCTGTACACTGGCACTGTGGACGACGACGCGAGACTGCTGCTTGCTTGCATGCTGGTGCTTTCTGCTTCAGCGCCAGCCTCTGCTCAGGCCACACTGTCTTCGACATTGCTGATGCGGCGCATGCCACTCTGTATTCATTGCTGATGTGGCATTTGCCACATTGTCTACATTGCTGAGTTGGATGCGACAAGGAGGGAGATCGGGATCTGTTGATGATTGAGAGGGAATGGGATACCTCCCTGATTGTGATGTCGATACTGTGCGCTGATGATCATCTCCAACGTCTTCACGAGAGAACTGCACCACATGGCACTTCAATGTGATTGGGACCTGTCAGCCTCGTTATTGGATACTGTTTTGCTGACGTGGGGGAGAAGGGAAGCCCGGAGAAGGAGTGGGAACTGTTGGGCTACTCTCTTTGTGGTCATTGATGGGTACCATCTCTTCCACCTTCTAATCTGTCTATTCCCCCTCCACTATCTTCGTCTACTGGAAACGAGACATTGTATCAGAGATCACATACATGATTATTGGAGACATTGTTCAAAGTTGAGTTGCTTTGTATTTCAACATTTGGCGAGTATCTTACAGACTGGGTTCATTACAATTTGGTGTCAGAGCATACCTTCTTCGTCGCGATCTGCTGTCAAGCGCCACGTGGCGCCCAGGTAAGTGGGAGGTGTCGTGCGTGAAAGGAGGGAAACACACTTATTCACGCGCGCGATTACTATCACGAGTCTAGACATTGATTTCCACACACGCGCGCACATTCCTTTGAAGGTGATGACATGGACAGCTTGAAGTGAAGACGGCGGCATTGCTTACGTGGCACTTTGTTGCTGACCTGGCAAGATACCGACAAGAGCATCGTTGGCAGCAGGCTGACGTGGCGCTGGTGAGAGAGAGAGTGGGTATCGAGGCTGCTGACGTGGCGCACTGCCTACATGGCATAGCGAGGGTGCTGGTGTGGCATCCTAGGATTGGTAGGGTGTTGTCTGACGTGGAACGTACCTGCGTCGCGACTTACCTGCTGAAGTGGCGCTCCATACTCTATTACTTCGATCTGACGTGGCATACCAGTGGTGGATGGGTTGGAAGTTCGGGCATTGCTGACGTGTCATCCCACCAGAAGGCCATGCTGGCTCTTGACGTTGGCGTGGCACATGTGCTGCGTTCGCATTCCAAGGGTGACACGTGGCATGCCTTGCACGCTGCCGTGGGTGAGGTGTTGATACTTGCACTTGTGTGCTGGCAGGCGATACAGCTTCACGGTTGCTGTAGTGCCACGTGCCGGCCCTTGGGTCTGGCTGCATTAGTTCTGCAGATAGTACAGTCGTAGAGGAAAGAATGCTGACAATTGATTGTTGTTGAATGTGTTGGCTGACTTACTCACTTGTCTCGCTGATCTGTGGTTGCCGTGCATACTCACCTGTGTTGTTGTGTACTCACCTGTGTTGTTGTGTCTTGATCACACTGGCCGTGGCTGCGGTACATGTACACTCTTGTTAGGACATCATCACACATAGGACAGACAACAGAAGTTAGAATTAGGATAAAATTGAAGTCTGTTTCGTCTTTATGTTTGCTTAATTGTCTCTTGCTGTAGTAGATTGACACCGGGTGTGGCCGTGGAATTCATTATTGTCTTGTAATTAGTTATTGTGTGGCAGACACACGTTTTGAAAATATCTTTCTTCTGGAATTCTTTGCGCCTTTCTGCTTTGACTCACTTCATCCCTCTCATTTTCTTCCCTGTCTCCTTCACTTTCTTCGCTGATGAAGAAAGTGCTGAATTGATAACCCGTGGCCAAATCGCAAATAGACGGCAGGAGATGTTGGGCCGTCTCCATCAGTTGATCGCCGATTTACATGATGCTGGAGCAGGTGCTGAGCAGCATGTGCGCAGTCAGTTCGATCTGCGAGCAGCAGAAACCGAACTAGAGATGGCTGACACGGCTATTCAGATGATGGAAGCCAGTACTCATGTACAGCAGATCATTATTCAGAGTCGACAGGCTCTTAATAAATTTGTGATCGGTCAACTGACAGAGATAACCAATAGCGGGGTATAACCGATAGCGGGTTGCAATGACTTGCTGATTTCTGATGCCGAGATTAACTGCGAGGCTGTACACTAACCGGTAGGTTAGATTCGTAATTTTGTTTGGCTGAGGACTAACCGAGAGACCTGCCTATAAGGAAATTCGTGAAAGACAGATCTGCAAATCCGGGAAAATACAGGCCCGGTACTAACCGAATTCCTACAGCTACCCTAACTGCCTATAGCAGGCCCGGGCTACCCCTAGGACAGACAGGCCTTAAGCGGCCTATACTGCTAGACGGTCCTATAGCCTACAGCCGGGTCCGGTAGAGGCCGAGAGGCCGAAACAGCAACGGTACCGGTCGGTCAGTCAGTCCGGTCTAGGTCTAGAGAGGCTATAGATAGGTTAGGCCCACCAATTCAGGACTTTTGGCAATTCATTTTCGCGTCGCAGCGTTCGTGGCCAACCAAGTTCTGCAGCGCTGAAGGTCTGAGGCGGCATCCCAGACTTCAGCTTGGTGATGACACCCATAGCCGGCCTCTGAGAGGTTGCCGAAGCTGGGGCACTCTCAGCGCATCTACCCCAGAGGGTATCTGCGTGTGGCAGGGCTATTCAGAGGCTCTTCCGTGGGTACATGTGGATGCTGCAGCTGGCGCCCTACTCCGCAGGGCTTCTGTAGCAGTGCGGCAGCCATAGCTGCCTTCTTCTCCGTCAGAGTGACTCATCGGCACTGGGGACCTCATCGCAGTTCATGATCTGCATCTTGGTGGATGGCGCTTGCCTCTAGGAGGCTCTTTCAGTGTAGCGCTGGACTCTGAGAGTGGAGTAGTGGGTGGGTGTGTGGCTCTGAGGTGGCGAGACACTGGGTTAAACTCTGTAACGATAATTGGGGTTAATTGAGTTGAGTTGGCTCATCACCGGTGTTATATTCCAACTGTGATCTTCGCAGTGTCATCTTGTGATTGGTTGTTGGGAGTTTGTCTAAGAGAGAGAGAAACACTGTGTGTATTCTCCCCATCTTTGCATGGTTGATGTTCCGCTGCTTATCTCTGGTCTGTGTACAGTGTGGACTCTGCTTCTCCTCCCCTTTGTCTTGTGCATGTATGGGCATGTGTGAGATACTCTGTGTGTGAGTGGCGAGAAAATTGTCAGACAACCAAGTTCATAACAGTTGGTATCGGAGCGGAGATTGGACTTGGAGCACTGAGGGTTGAGCGCAACAGAGGCATCTTCTCCTTCTGGCTCTATCTAGCGAGAAGTCCCATAGCGGTTCTTCATCTTCAGTGAAGATCCAGTAGAGAAGAAGACATACCAGCGGTGATTGCAAGGAATCAGTGTGCGATTGATCAGGCGCCCTGAGCCTGTCTGAGCGCCTGACAGGGTTTGGTGAGAACAGGGGTATTTCGCCATCCACCCTTCTTAGCTCAGTTGATGACTGTGTTCAGGGTGGCGAATTACACCCTAATCCGG